TTTAATTTGATTGGATTTAAATTATAATTAATTTAATTAATGTTTGTTATTGGGCGACAACTAAAATTGACACTATGTAATGTTGGTTGCCTATGTGTACTTTTTTAAATTTTAATTAATTATTTATATTTATAAATATTGTTTCTAAATATGATGATTAATCTCTTTTACATATTATTATTTATATTCTTGTTCATTATTTTATTTTTGTAATTTTTACTTTCTCGCCTCTCTCAATTTGACGTTTTTTGAAAACGAATGTCATAAAAAAGCTTTTTTCGATAAAATCATTAGGAATTGAGAAATGAAACTTATTAAAGTTAAAGATGAATATTTGAGGTTGGGTTGTGCCAAATTTTAAGTTTCCAAGTTGAACGGTTTTTCTATAATAAAATGTTTAAATCGTCGATCTCAATTTGACGTTTTTTGAAAATAAATGTCATAAAATATTTGTATCTCCAAATTGATTAGGAATTGAGAAATGAAACTTTTTGAGGTTATTGGTGAACATTTGAGGTTGGGTTGTGCCAAATTTTAAGTTTCCAGGTTGAATGGTTTTTCTATAATAAAATGTTGAAATCGCCGATCTCAATTTGACGTTTTTTGATAATAAATGTCATAAAGAATTTGTATCTCCAAAATGATTAGGAATTGAGAAATGAAACTTTTTGAGGTTATTGATGAACATTTGAGGTTGGGTTGTGCCAAATTTTAAGTTTCCAGGTTGAACGGTTTTTCTATAATAAAATATTTAAATCGACGATCTCAATTTGACGTTTTTTTGTAATAGAATGTCAAAAAAAGTTGTATCTCCAAAATAATTAGGAATTGAGCAATGAAACTTTTTGAGATTATTGATGAATATTTGAGGTTGGGTTGTTCCAAATTTTAAGTTTCCAGGTTGAACAGTTTTGTTATAATAAAATGTTTAAATCGCCGATCTGAATTTGAAGTTTTTTGAAAATTAATGTCATAAAGAATTTGTATCTCCAAAATTATTAAGAATTGAGAAATGAAACTTTTTGAAGTTATAGATGAATATTTGAGGTTGGATTGTGCCAAATTTTCAGTTTCCAAGTTGAACGGTTTTTCTATAATAAAATGTTTAAATCGCAGATCTCAATTTGACGTTTTTTGATAATACATGTCATAAAGAATTTGTATCTCCAAAATGATTAGGAATTGAGAAATGAAACTTTTTGCAGTTATAGATGAACATTTGAGGTTGGGTTGTGCCAAATTTTAAGTTTCCAGGGTGAACGGCTTTTCTTTAATAAAATGTTTAAATCGCCGATCTCAATTTGACGTTTTTTGAAAATGAATGTCATAAAATATTTGTATCTCCAAAATGAGTAGGAATTGAGAAATGAAACTTTTTGAAGTTATTGATGAACATTTGAGGTTGGGTTGTGCCAAATTTAATGTTTCCAAGTTGAAGGGTTTTTCTATAATAAAATGTTACAATCGCCGATCTCAATTTGACGTTTTTTTGTAATAGAATGTCAAAAAAATTTGTATTTGCAAAATGATTAGGAATTGAGAAATGAAACTTTTTGAGATTATTGATAAACATTTGAGGTTGAGTTGTGCCAAATTTTAAGTTTCCAAGTTGAACGGTTTTTCTTTAATAAAATGTTTAAATCGCCGATCTCAATTTGACGTTTTTTGATATTAAATGTCATAAAGAATTTGTATTTCTAAAATGATTAGGAATTGAGAAATGAAACTTTTTGAGGTTATTGATGAATACTTGAGGATTGGTTGTGCCAAATTTTAAGTTTCCACGTTGAACGGTTTTTCTATAATAAAATGTTTAAATCGCCGATCTCAATTTGACGTTTTTTGAAAATGAAAATCATAAAGAATTTGTATCTCCTAAATGATTAGGAATTGAGAAATGAAACTTTTTGAGGTTATTGATGAACATTTGAGGTTGGGTTGTGCCAAATGTAAAGTTTCCAAGTTGAACGGTTTTTCTATAATAAAATGTTAAAATCGCCGATCTCAATTTGACGTTTTTTGACAATGAATGTCATAAAGAATTTGTATCTGCAAAATGATTAGGAATTGAGAAATGAATCTTTTTGAGATTATTGATAAACATTTGAGGTTGAGTTGTGCCAAATTTTAAGTTTCCAAGTTGAACGGTTTTTCTATAATAAAATGTTTAAATCGACGATCTCAAATTGACGTTTTTTGAAAATGAAAGTCATAAAAAATTTGTATCTTCAAAATGATTAGGATTTAAGAAATGAAACTTTTTGAGGTTATTGATGAATATTTGAGGTGGGGTTGTGCCAAATTTTAAGTTTCCACGTTGAACGGTTTTTCTATAATAAAATGTTTAAATCGACGATCTCAAATTGACGTTTTTTGAAAATGAAAGTCATAAAGAATTTGTATCTCCAAAATGATTAGAAATTGAGAAATGAAACTTTTTTAAATTATTGATGAACATTTGAGCTTGGGTTGTGCCAAATCTTAAGTTTCCAGGTTGAACGGTTTTTCTATAATAAAATGTTGAAATCGCCGATCTCAATTTGTCGTTTTTTGAAAATGAATGCCATAGAAAATTTGTATCTCCAAAATAATTAGGATTTGAGAAATGAAACTTTTTGAGGTTATTGATGAACATTTGAGGTTGGGTTGTGCCAAATTTTAAGTTTCCCTATTAAACGGTTTTTCTTTAATAAAATGTTAAAATCGCCGATCTCAATTTGGCGCTTCTTGAAAATGAATGTCATAAAGAATTTGTATCTCCAAAATGATTAGGAATTGATAAATGAAACTTTTTGAGGTTATTGATGAACGTTTGAGGTTGGGTTGTGCCAAATTTTAAGTTTCCCTATTAAACGGTTTTTCTTTAATAAAACGTTAAAATCGCCGATCTCAATTTGACGTTTTTTGATAATAAATGTCATAAAGAATTTGTATCTCCAAAATGATTATGAATTGAGAAATGAAACTTTTTGAAGTTATTGATGAACATTTGAGGTTGGGTTGTGCCAAATTTAATGTTTCCAAGTTGAAGGGTTTTTCTATAATAAAATGTTACAATCGCCGATCTCAATTTGACGTTTTTTTGTAATAGAATGTCAAAAAAATTTGTATTTGCAAAATGATTAGGAATTGAGAAATGAAACTTTTTGAGATTATTGATAAACATTTGAGGTTGAGTTGTGCCAAATTTTAAGTTTCCAAGTTGAACGGTTTTTCTTTAATAAAATGTTTAAATCGCCGATCTCAATTTGACGTTTTTTGATATTAAATGTCATAAAGAATTTGTATTTCTAAAATGATTAGGAATTGAGAAATGAAACTTTTTGAGGTTATTGATGAATACTTGAGGATTGGTTGTGCCAAATTTTAAGTTTCCACGTTGAACGGTTTTTCTATAATAAAATGTTTAAATCGCCGATCTCAATTTGACGTTTTTTGAAAATGAAAATCATAAAGAATTTGTATCTCCTAAATGATTAGGAATTGAGAAATGAAACTTTTTGAGGTTATTGATGAACATTTGAGGTTGGGTTGTGCCAAATGTAAAGTTTCCAAGTTGAACGGTTTTTCTATAATAAAATGTTAAAATCGCCGATCTCAATTTGACGTTTTTTGACAATGAATGTCATAAAGAATTTGTATCTGCAAAATGATTAGGAATTGAGAAATGAATCTTTTTGAGATTATTGATAAACATTTGAGGTTGAGTTGTGCCAAATTTTAAGTTTCCAAGTTGAACGGTTTTTCTATAATAAAATGTTTAAATCGACGATCTCAAATTGACGTTTTTTGAAAATGAAAGTCATAAAAAATTTGTATCTTCAAAATGATTAGGATTTAAGAAATGAAACTTTTTGAGGTTATTGATGAATATTTGAGGTGGGGTTGTGCCAAATTTTAAGTTTCCACGTTGAACGGTTTTTCTATAATAAAATGTTTAAATCGACGATCTCAAATTGACGTTTTTTGAAAATGAAAGTCATAAAGAATTTGTATCTCCAAAATGATTAGGAATTGAGAAATGAAACTTTTTGAGGTTATTTATGAAGATTTGAAGTTGGGCCGTGCCAAATTTAAAGTTTCCAAGTTGAACGGTTTTTCTATAATAAAATGTTTAAATCGCCGATCTCAATTTGACGTTTTTTGATAATAAATGTCTTAAAGAATTTGTATCTCCAAAATGATTAGGAATTGAGAAATGAAACTTTTTGAGGTTATTGATGAACATTTGAGGTTGGGTTGTGCCAAATTTCAAGTTTCCAAGTTGAAGGGTTTTTCTATAATAATATGTTGAAATCGCCGATATCAATTTGTCGTTTTTTGATAATGAATGTCATAAAGAATTTGTATCTCCAAAATGATTAGGAATTGAGAAATGAAACTTTTTGAGATTATTGATAAACATTTGAGGTCGGGTTGTGCCAAATTTTAAGTTTCCAGGTTGAACGGTTTTTCTTTAATAAAATGTTTAAATCGCCGATCTCAATTTGACGTTTTTTGAAAATGAATGTTATAAAGAATTTGTATCTCCAAAATGATTAGGAATTGAGAAATGAAACTTTTGAGGTTATTGATGAACATTTGAGGTTGGGTTGTGCCAAATTTTAAGTTTCCAAGTTGAACGGTTTTTCTATAATAAAATGTTAAAATCGCCGATCTCAATTTGACGTTTTTTGAAAATGAATGTCATAAAGAATTTGTATCTCCAAAACGATTATGAATCAAGAAATGAATCTTTTTGACGTTATAAATGATTATTTGGGGTTTAATTGTCCGAAATTTCGAGTTTCCTAGATCAACGGTTTTTTAAATAAAATTTTTTAAACCCAATTAATTTTTTTGTCTTCGCTTTTTTTAGTTCTAATTTTTAAATTCCCATTTATCATAATACAGCACACAACCTCGTCTAAGTAGTGTTTAAAACGGTACATAAAAAGGAGAAAATTGTGCTACTTCTTCGATCCGGGTCACTCTCTTCTTCGCAAAACCTCTTCCTTCTTACATTTCCATTTTGCATTTCACAACGTTACGTAAATCATTTAAATACACATAAATCGTTGAAACAAATCGAGCCATGTTTAGTTTGGTGATTTTAGTGACAATCTTAATATATTCCGCGATAATCGTCGATTTAGCCCCAATTTTCGACTTCGATATTTGGGCCGATGAAAACGAAGTCGTTTTAAACAAAACCGGGATCGTTCGGAATTCAAAAGTTTTAAATTTTATCCCGATCCCGGTTGAAGAAGAATGTTTATCGACTGATGGGCGACGAAAAGGTGTTTGTATGAACACTTATGAGTGTAGGATTCAAGGTGGAAAATCCCACGGGTTTTGCGCGATGGGTTTTGGGGTTTGTTGCGTTTGTAAAACATAAATTAATTTTAATTATTTAAATTTAATTTTTTGATGTTTTAGTTACCGCAACTTGCGATCAAGATGTTTTTAACAACATAACTTATTTCGTTAACCCTCATTTTCCCGATTTAGACATCGACATGTCACTATGTTTATTAAAAATTAAAAAAATCGACCAAGAAATCTCTCAAATTCGCTTAGATTTCGTTCATTTCAATTTGGGGCAACCCAATCGAAAAACTGGAATTTGCGAAGACGACGTTTTATTAATTTCCGGTGGAAGTTCGAATAATTTAAGCATTTGCGGCTACAACAGCGATCAACACGTTTATTTCGACGTCGATAACATTGACGAACCCATCACAATGTCGATGAATCTTAGCAAAAAAGTGGCGAAACGATTTTGGGAAATTCGAGTGACTCAAATTCCTTTCTCACAAAGAGCTCCGTTAAGTTGTCTCCAATACCACACCGGGTTAACCGGAACGATTCAAACGATGAATTTCGCCGAAAACGGCAGACATTTAGCGAATCAAGACTACAACATTTGTATTCGACAAGAAAAACGTATGTGTAGTATTATTTACGAACCTTGCGATGAGAATTCGTTTCGAATTTCGTCGAATAATCGACAAGGATCAATAGCACAAATGGAGGTGACTCAAAATAATCAACTATTTGGGAATCAAAATCAATCAATTAATGTAAACAACGATGAAATTGAAGGATCTGGTGGTGATTTTGATGTTGGGGAAGCTCGAAATATGGATTTATGTGTTGATAAGATAATTATGCCGTGTGGTTCTGATGATTTTTTGATGGTATTTGTTGTATAAAATTGTAAGGTTAGGAAAATCATGAAACATTTTTTAGCCTGGTGATGTATCGAAGGAATTTTGTTCGATTTCGCGATGTGGGTCATCTTTATGTCCGAAAGGTGAGGATCCGTGTAAAATTGAAACGACGGTTACCCCATTTTCGATTGGGGTTCATTTTGGGCCTAGTTCGAGGGATAATTCATCGCCTGATGATAATTTGGGGATGTGTTTAGTTTATAAACAAATAGAATGTGTTAATTAAGAACAATTTTTAGTGATGTTTTAGGAAATAAAGAAAAAAGTATTTATTTATTCATTCTTGATTGATTAAATAGGGTCTGTTCCAATTTTTCCAAAAACTATCTCTTTAAAATAATTTCCTTGTTTGTATAGTTCTTATCGTTCCAGAGTTAATAGAGCTGCTTACAGCTGTAGAGAACCAATAATTAATGTACATCGAGACGTAAAAGATTCCATTATTTTTCAAAATATCGATATCTCTACTTACAACAAAGAAAGATGCCCTCTAGCACTACCAAAACTTAGCACCATAATAATTGGTGTTTTACAATATTCCATAAATAATAAACCGAACCCAACCCAACCCAACCAAGGCTGTGAACCCACGTTCGTCAATGCTAGGTGTCAGACGATTATTGATTTGACCTTGGCATCGGCGAACGTATCTCAAAACATTAGCAACTGGTGTGTCTGCCAGGAAGCGTCTATGTCTGACCATAGATGGATCACTTTTGATTTAGGACCAATTATGCTCTTGAGAAAGAGGGTCCGGGATCCAAAGCGGACTGACTTGAGCATTTTTGCAAGCTGTTTAAATGAGCAATTGCGAGATTTTCCAGATGCCCTTCCTGGAAATACCGATGAATTGGAGTATTACTCAAACCTCGTGGGTGACACACTAACTCAGGCCTTCCATAGTGCATGTCCTGAGAGAATTGTGAAGGAGAGAGGTAGGGCTACACCTTGGTGGACTCCTGATCTACATTCACTGAGGGTTACTTGCAGAAAAGCTTTTAATAAAGCAAAAAAAACTAGACTGAATTCTGACTGGACCTTGTTCAAAACACACCAGTCAGAATTCAAACATTTAGTGCGACAAAAGAAACGCTTCTACACCAAGTGGAATTTAACAACTCTCCTAGCAGCCAGGACTGGCAGATAGCTAACCAGGTTGTAAGGAATGAGTTGGTAGAGTGGGCCGTCGGCAGTTTTGAGCCCTTCAAAACACCCGGACCCGACGGTATATTTCCTGCTCTTCTTCAATGGAGTCTAGAGGATATGAAAATACACTTGATGAGAGTTTTTAAGGCCTGCTTAGCCTTTAACTACGTTCCCATCAGCTGGAGGAAGGTTACAGTAACCTTTATACCAAAGAATGGAAAAAAGGACCCAACGGATCCTAAAGCCTTTCGACCAATTAGTCTCTCATCATTTCTTTTAAAGACGCTTGAAAGACTATGTGAACATTACATTAGAGAGAATGTACTTAAAGCGTTTCCTTTGCATTTCAACCAACATGCATATATCAAAGGTAAATCTGTGGATAGCGCCCTACACATGGTAGTGGGGCGCATCGAACAAGCATTTGATTCGAAAGAGTCCATTCTGGGAACTTTCCTTGACATAGAGGGAGCGTTTGACAAAACCACCTTTAGTAGCATTAACCTGGCACTGGAATCTCGAAGAGTGCCATCGGTCATCGCGGGCTGGATTAAAACAATGCTAGCAAGCAGAGTTGTTCAGACTAAGGCGAAAGGACACACAGTACAGAGAGCTGTGGTTAAGGGTTGCCCACAAGGTGGGGTACTCTCACCGCTTCTCTGGTGCTTAATAGTTGATGATCTCATTC